CATAATGGTAAAATGGTAAGAGAATATGGGGATAGAAGGAATACTGCTTACCCCTTAATCCCAGCACCTGGAGCCCATAGACAGTTGATGTCCTTTAGGGCCTCCCAAGGTCAGGATAGTATTAGCACAGAACTTGCCCCAGGGATCCTACTGGTGTCCATTGGAGACCTCTTGTTAGAAGCACATAGTGGAATTTGATTGCAAATAAGAATATAAGCCTCTATCGTCCCCTCGTTTCCTTTAATTCTAAAAGAAATACAGGCAAATCCTTTCTTAATCCTTTATATTTGTCTATTACAAACACTTCATGCATGATAGAAATTTAGATGTGTCCCTCCCTTGGGAAGGCATGGGAGCCCTTCTAAACTGCTTGAGCGTGGCTTAATTATGAAAGTTGTTTCTAATTTAAAAACATACATTTCTGGATACGGCAAAGATTTTGTGGAATATACAACAAATGTTGTACAAAAAAAATCCATATCTGCCACTAGAAGTTGTTTAAAGCCTTTTAGGAAAATCCATTACAAATGCCATGCCAGAGTAACTCACCTGAGTTACATAAGAGTTTGCACAAGCAGACAACACCAAATCCGGAACTAGGTGGGCTATATATACAGTATCACTCCATGTAAAAATATTGCTAATTTCTACCATCTTCCTAAGGAGCCAGAAGGGACAGTCCAACATATCTGCCTGCAAGTTGATAAGGTACCAAGCATTGATTTTAACATAAAATATTATAACATAAAAAGCAAAATATTTTGGCTTTTTTTACAGAATATTGCATTGATCATTTCATTATATAACTACATTATCACTGAAATGTAATTATATGAATTGTTTTTAACCAAAATAGTACCAGTTTTAGTCATTCAGTTCAGTGATTGAATATTGGAAATAGAGTTTATTGGAATTTTTTAACAAAAAAAGTCCCTTTTTTTCAATAATGAAAATATTTCCCAAAACATTTATTGAGTTTCCATTTTTTGAATATTTTCATTAGAGATTTTAAACAATAGAAAGCAGCCTGGTAGCTGTTATGCAAGATGTTTTCCCCTCATAACCCACATCTTTTTAGAAAAGGTGCAAGGTTTTTATGGGACTCATTTCTCATTTTAACATACTTTATACATTTTCAGCTTTGCTTGATCATATTCATTAAATGATTGAATGTTTTTTCAAAATCCTACCAATTCCTGTTTGATAATTCCCAAATTTCAAAAATGTATTTTTCTTCTTCAAAGCAGGGAGTTGTCAGAAAACAGAACTTTTTAAATACAATTACGAAAAACATAGAATCAAAGTGCTTTCACAGAAATGTTGGGCATTTCTCTTTTTCAACCAACTCTAATTATAAATATCACTAATCAGAATGCAGTTTTGTGTATTCACAGCTTTCTTTGTGTGGAAAACCCAAGAATGCATCTTTTTAAATACCAGTCTAGAAAATGTATGGCCTGACAAATTTGAAATAGGTATATATCATGTGATTGCAGAATTTATGTTCATGAAAATTAAGGGAATATTCATGTTTGTAAATAATGGATCTTAAAGGAAAGCAAGATGGCTAGCTTTGAATGATCATCAGCAAACTTACAGCTCTTCATATCGTGGACCCTCCTAATGATTGTCTTAATTATAAAGATGCTAAGTGTACACATTTCTTGATATACAGTCACAAGGTCTAATTCAGTGCTACAGTGAATGGGCCGTCCGTAGAACTGCCACATTTAAAACTGCATGGAATTTGGTCCCCAGAGTCTCAAACTTCAGCAACAATAAGGGTATGTCTAGACTACAGGTTTCTGTCGACAGAGGCTTTGTCAACAGATACTGTCAACAAAGCTTCTGTCGACAAAGAGCATCTAGACTACATCCAACTCTGTTGACAAAGCAAGCTGCTTTGTCGACATGAGAGTGTAGACGCAAAGGACAGTGTAGATGCAATAACACCTTCTGTCAATAGAACTCTGTCGACAAAAGGTGTTATTCCTCGTAGAATGAGGTTTACCACCATCGACAAAACTGCGGAGTTCTGTTGACGTTATGTCGACAGAACTCGGCGGTAGTGTAGACACAGGTATAGTTTTGTGGACAAAAGTCCACTTTTGTCGACAAAACCCTGTATTCTAGACACACCCCTAAGTTATAAAAGTATTTATCAAATAACAGCTCCATCTAAAATTGTGATTTAAGCCTCAGAACTGGATGGTTGATTGTTGTTACATGTCATGCAACTGGTTGATTACAAAATCTCCTTTGGGAGAATCTGAAACATACAAGAGCATTCATGCATGGCATGATATACACTCTAAAGTATGCTAAGAATGGGATGGACTTGAATTTACAATATACTGATGGAGTCCCATACAATACTTTTGTGTAAAATACGGAAAGAACATTCTCCTCTTCCATCATTGAATGTTAAACTATGAGGCACTTGTGGAATCAGAAGTATTTTTAAAAAATAGATTATTTTCTGTATCCCAAATAATCTGCTTCATATGTCTGTCATCCACATGGGACAGCTGAAGTTGATTGGAGGAGCACAGGTCTGGTGGTTAGGAAACCTGGCTTTATTGACCTCAGTGAATTACACTGATTTAGACAGTAATTTAGACAGACCCCTTTCAAAGACTCAAACCTGGATCTGGTGTGTGGTCTTGGGAAAGTTACATCACCTCACAGGTCCTTACTTTCTCCCCATATGAAAAAAGGGCTATGTCTAGACTGCAAGCCTCTTTCGAAAGAGGCTTTTTCGAAAGATACTTTCGAAAAAGCCTCTTTCAAAAGAGAGCATCTAGACTGCACACAGAACTTTCGAAAAAGCAAGCCGCTTTTTCGAAAGAAAGCAGCAAGTGAGTCTGGATGCTTTCTTTTGAAAAAGCCTTGTTTGCTTTCAAGAACACCTTTTTTGAAAAGAGCACTTTCGAAAAAAGGCGTTCTTCCTCGTGAAATGAGGTTTACCGCCGTCGAAAGAAAAGCCACGTTCTTTCAATTTAATTTCGAAAGAACGCGGCTGCAGTCTAGACACAGGTGAAGTTTTTTCGAAAAAAGGCTACTTTTTTCGAAAAAAACCCTGAGTCTGGACACAGCCATGGGGATAATGTTGCCTCCTCCCCTTTGCACAGCACTTTGAGATGTGTAGACAAAAGGTGTGACATAATGCAAAATAGTGTTTTATTATACTTTATAGAATATTTTAGTTAGCATATGTTCAAGTGTAAAACATGCTAGTATATTTCAAAATATACAGACTGTCAATGACGTATTTATACCCACAAATGTGCACATGCACACACACACACACTGCAATCACCTTTAAAGTCAGAGAGTACATATAATTCTGTAGTAATGCTAATTACACCCAAATGGCAAATACTGTATAGCATTTCAGTTGACACCACTGTTTCAATGTGACAGATGTCATCATCAAACAAAGGGCCTTTAAAGAGCAAGAACATGGGATCCCATATCCTTCTAGAAGCCTTTCTCTATTGTTACTATCCTCCCCATTATACACAAGTTTGACAAAAATCAGTTTCGTAAATCATTCAGTTCAACTGCTGTAAGCCCTGGTGTGGACACACTTTTAGCGGGGAAAGCAATGGAGCCTAGTGGGTAGCACAGTGGATTAGGATTCTGGAGATGTGGATACTGGTCTAAACTCATTTAAAATGGTCTCAATCTAGTTTCTCAGGGGAAAAACCAGCCCCTCTTGCTGCACAGATCCCAAAGGCAATGAAACTAGTTTGGTTCTACTGCACAGGAAAGGGTGGGAGGCTCCAGGCAGGCAGGTTAGACCCTATGTGCACTGTGGAGCTCAGCTCTGCTGAGACTCTGGGGTAAGTTGGACAAGGCACGGGGAGCAGGGTTGTATGATCCAACACAGCTGTATCCTCCCATCCGGCCCACCACAACAGAGTTGAGTTATGAGTCCACAGCACTACTTCTGCTACAGGATCCTCCATAGAGTGATGTTCCAACTATTCCCCCAGATGTGGGTAAGGAAGCTTCCCTGCTTCGTTCCATCCCTCCTAGTCTAGGCAGGCACCAGCTGAGTTGTTTATGCCCTGATTCAGCATGGGTATGTCTACACTACCCCGCTAGTTCGAACTAGCGGGGTAGTGTAGACATACCCATGCTGAATCAGGGCATAAACAACTCAGCTGGTGCCTGCCTAGACTAGGAGGGATGGAACGAAGCAGGGAAGCTTCCTTACCCACATCTGGGGGAATAGTTGGAACATCACTCTATGGAGGATCCTGTAGCAGAAGTAGTGCTGTGGACTCATAACTCAACTCTGTTGTGGTGGGCCGGATGGGAGGATACAGCTGTGTTGGATCATACAACCCTGCTCCCCGTGCCTTGTCCAACTTACCCCAGAGTCTCAGCAGAGCTGTATTCAGCCAGCACTTAAACACATGCTTATATCTACTAACATCTTAAAGACATTTGATTTACACATGCGCTTAAATCTGAGCCCATGCTTGATTGTGGTGCTGAATCAGGATGAGCTAAAGCATGTCATTAAATGGTTTGTCAAAATGGGGCCTTGGCACTCGGTTATTTGGCAAAATCAAAGAATCGAATTAAAAGAATCTAGAAGTAAAAGATCAAAATGGCAGCCAGCAATTGAGAGCAAGAAGTTGTCAGATCAGTTCAGCTCAGCCATCTCTTTTCAGCCCCCTGCCCTTCAGATGGGTGGAGGACAGCTGGACACGATTCGTTAGATTACTGAGATGGATGTCAGGGAATTGTTGCTCCTCTCAACCAATCACTACCCAATGTGGTATCAGATCAGACAGTATCTTTATTTGGGTAGAGGTTTGCTATTCAAATCTAAATATCAGAACATCAGATGTTCATTCCCCTTCTTCATTCTTGTTTCATAGAGATGTGACCTCTGCCCCATAAACTTTGTATGTCTTGTGAGATGTCTTGGGGAAGATTCCCTTGTAATGGCCAAGCAGATTATCAATTGTTCTTTCCTTTTTCAGAAATGGTTCTGCTAACTGCACTTGTGTGTCTGGCCATTTGGCTACCTCAGTCTGTTGGACAGGTATGAGCCTTACACTTTATATACCTCTAAATGCTTTGGTTCTTTATGTCTACAGGCAAAAACAATACTTGGCCAGCAGCACAATTAACTATAATCCTTCTGGGTTTTTTTCCTGATTATTTTGGAAGAATCTGTTCCAAGTTTTCACCAAGAACAAATTTCTTTCTGTTCTCATTCTTGCCAGGAGTTGGTCTCAACCATTTCTTCCTCTGACATAAAATGCTTGAGCACCCAAGCATATTGATGGTCTGGAAGAGGGTCTACCATCATACTATCCAAGTACTTCACTATCGTTAATATTGGAATCCCCAGCACACTTTTGAGGCAGGGAAATATTATCCTCACCATTTGACTGCTAATACTTCAGCATTTCTGTTCTCACCTTTTAAGTACAAATAATTAATTGCTTGCAAACTATTTTCTTTGCATTTCCTCCTAAAAATCTTTCCATTGATCTTAGGGTTTTGTGTCTTCAGAAGCTTACCTCTACAATACCTTAAATTCTGGTCCAGAGTTGTTTTTTTTTTCCTGAAATAGAAACTTACAAATCACACTTGTAAAATCTGCATAATCAGTCACTGAGGGCAGGTTGACACAGCAGGGTGAAAGTCAAATTAAGCTATGCAACATGAGTTACATCAATTAAGTTGAAATAGCTTAATTCGGTTTTTGACACTGTCTATGCAGCAGGAAGTTGAAGGAAGAACACTCTTCCTTTGACTTCCCTTGCTCTTTGTGAAATGAGAGTTACAGGAGTTGGAGTAAGAAGTCCTCCAGCTCACCATTATTTCAAAATAGTGGCTTGAAGAATAGACACATTCTTTATTATTTCAGAATAATGTGAGTTATTCCAAAATAATGCTGCTGTGTCGACATAGCCTGACACAGAGAATATTTTGTGAACAAGTACATGATGCATTATTTCATTTTAGGGTCCAGCTCCAGCAAATACTGCTATGTCTACTGACTTCCCAGAAATACAAAGAGAGATCACCGACAAGCACAATGAACTTAGGAGATCAGTAAATCCAATGGCTGGCAACATGCTGAAGATGGTAAGATTTTAGACAGAACCTATTATGTTACTATAGAACAGTTGTTTTCAAACATCTCCATAATTGGACCCACCCAGAAGTCACTCCTTATTTGCTAAGCTCTAGCTGGGGCCTCCAGGCCATACAACACATTTGGTTGTTATTTCCAGAGTCCTTCCTGTGAGCTGGTTGGAAACTACTACATTCAGAATGAGAACTCAGGTATTAGCGATTGAGAAGCAGCTCTTTGCTGCCATAATGAGAACATAAGAATGGCCAGACTGGGTCGGACCAAAGGTCCATCTAGCCCAGTATCTTGTCTGCCGACAGTGGCCAATACCGGATGCCCCAGAGGGAGGGATCACAATCCCCATGTGATCTTCCCCTATCACCCATCTCCAGAGAAACAGAGGTTAGGGATACCATTCCTACCTATCCTGGAGGGTAGGAAAATGGTCTTCCTTTTGGTTCAATACAGAAATATCTTACTTGTTCAGCTAGTTGCATCATGATTCTCTATATTCCATGCAAGATAGTGCCCTGGACACTCAGTCTATTTGATTGCAATATGTTCTGCATCTGTAAACTTGTGGAGAACTGAAGAATCAGATTGTTTTAAAGTACTTGTGAAAACTAAAAAATGAGAACATTGCAATGGAAACTGAAGTACTCTGGCCACAAAAGAAAAGTGCATCACTTAAACAATGTACCAATCCTGCAAGTCAGTATGGCTCCATTTTGGAGAACCAGTCTAAGGAGTGCAAAGCTCTGTCCTCATGAAAATGCACTTAGTTTATCTAGTTTTTGTCCTCAATCAAGGTGATAAGGATGAAAATTTGCACCAACATAACTGATGCTTTTTTTGGATCACATACTTATCCAATAGGTTCATAGCTGAGACCAACAATCTAATTAGCATAGATCAGCAAAGAGTCACATTAATGTCCACTCAAGCCATTCTGGATACTAATTATACTGACAAGCCTAGATGTGTGGGCCAATTTTCAGAAATTCTGAGACCTAAACAGATCCCACTGGAATAAAATTAAGCATATACACTCATAACCTCTGAAAAAATCAAGCCACCTTTCTTTTTTATGCCTATCTACAGATTATGGTTTGATTAGAAAATTTAGGCACACAATTTCCATTTGTCAGCTTTGAAAATCTCAATTGGGGTTTCTAACTTCAGGCAAATCAAATTCACATTTGTTGTTTGTTTTACCCTTTAAGTTGCTTAAGTATGCCCAATATCTCTCATTTCGTTAAGGCCTGGAGTGCTGAAGCTGCAAAGAATGCAAAAAGTTGGGCAGATCAATGTACTTATTTCCATAGTCCCGAATCCAGAAGAAAAGTCAGAAGTAAGTAAAATATCACTTTTAGCAAGCAGGCTGGACTACAGGAGAGAAAATAAAGGGAGCACTTTCCCCATTAGGACATAAGGGATGCATATAAGATAGTTCCCAGAACTGGGGAGACCATCGTAGTGGAGAAAAAAAAGGAAAGTGAGTCTGTATCCCACTGTAAAGGCCAGTCCATAAAGGAGAGGAGTCTATTATGTCTCCTAACAAGAGTAGTTTGACTCTCCACAACTGAGAAAGGTGGGAATCACATATTATAGTGATGGATGCTATCTAGGTATTATCTCTCTGCAAACATAGGAGAGGTGGCCGGGGAAAAGGGGGAAGTAGAGATGGGACTTGAAGACTAGAGACGCTACAGTTAGCTCTGAGAATTTGGAACCTAGAATTTCCAATACAGCTTAAAAGAGCCTTCATCTAAATGAGGATGAGCCCCCAGGTGTTTAGTGTGCACTTACCTTAGATGTGCAAGCACACACAGAGCATTGTTCATGAGGGTGTTTTTGGAGCCTGGTACAATTTCAAAGCCATCCGTCTTTCTTCAAAGTTGAATTTTCTCCTGAACTATGAAGGTTTTACAATAATTCCAGCAGTTCTTCATTATATTATTAGTGAACTGTCTTTCCATTATTTAGATATCACCTGTGGTGAAAATCTCTGTACTTCAAGTTTTCCCGTATCATGGTCAACAGTACTCCAGTGGTGGTTCAATGAGAAAGATAATTTCATATTTAATATTGGACCAACATCATCAAATGTAGAGGTTGGACACTATACTCAGGTATGAACAGTGTCTATTATACAACATTCCATATTTATTAGAGGCCTCTAAACTTGTGTCAGAAGTCTTATGTGGGCAAAGGCTGGCATGAGAACATGCAAACAATTGCATATCTAACTAACTGCTTTTTCTCATGTGAATCCAGATTAGGGGCATACCACTAATTTCCTTGATCACAATTAGATGCTTCACAGTTTGCGTGCACAAAATTGATGACACGCCTTTAGGAGCCATACTAAGGTAATCTGGAATTGTGTTTAATTTGGATCATTCTTAAATTCATAATTTAAGAAAGAAACAGATGCAGCCCTTGACATGAGGTACGTTAACTTTCCCACAGTGGATTCTCCAACATCACTCCTTGAATGGTGATATTTAGCCTACTATATTTCAGCAAGAAGGCACCCCTTTCTAGTCCTTGTCATAACAGATATGATCCATGGAAGGGTAGTAGATTCCAAGTAGTCCTTATTTGACAGACAAAGATTCAAAGAAGTGTCTCATCAATAAGATCAACTGGATACTTTTCTAGTGTTTTCCCTTCAAAATGCAGCATCCTATTGCACTTCTGGAGGAATAGAATTTGTAGGCGGCGGTAGGATGCTGCTCTAGATGTTAGCTGGGAAGTGGGAGCAAGTAGCAACACTATCTTCCCTAGAATCTCACCTCTAACGCCATCTAACTATCTCAGGATTTTCGTTTAGATTTAACATCTGGATTGCAGTGAAGTTCTGCTTACCTTCCAGACATGAGGCCATCTGTGGTGCCTTTATAACATAGAGGACACAGCCTAGACATGAATCTCCCATATAAGTCTAGCTCCTAGTCCTTCACTCCAAATAGCAGAGCACATAATTTCTTTAAATACTGATTGAAACTAATTTGAAATGTGCTTCTGTGCTAATGACCCTTTTTCTGGTGAGATCACAGATACACTTGTCAAATTTACTTGCTTTTAGAAGCCCTCACTTAATCAATGTTATGGTATATGCACAAAATGAAGAAAACAAGAGGCAGCTCCTAAACTGATGTAAATCAGGGGAGGATGAGTGAAGCCAATGGTATGATTTGATTTATAGCAGCTAAGGAATTAGCCTATGAAATTCACATATTTTAAAAAATTCTACCCTCTTTCCTGCTGTCCATGGATTACACTCATTCTCATAAAAGTGATATCTAGTGGTTAAAGCAAGGAATACCTAGATGAGGAACTGCCACTGGCTACATCTAGACTGCATTGCTTTTCCGGGATACCTCCGGTGTCCCGGAAAAGCAATGCTGCATCCAAGGAACGCATCTGCTTTTTCAGGGTTTTTTTTGAAAAACTGGATGCACTCTTTCGCCATTCCTGAAAACCTCATTCTACAAGGCATAAGGGATGTGTCAAAAGAGCACTTTTTTCCAAAATTCAGTGCCGTGTAGATGCACCAAATTTTGGAAAAGCCTCTTTCAAAAATAAATCGGAAAAAGATACACAATTTGTGTACCTTCCTCTGATTTAACTCTGCAGTCTAGTAGCCATGGATTCACCATGGCTACATCCATACTGCAGTGCTATTTTGAGATAACTTTGGTATCCCGAAATAGCTATCCCATGTCTTAACAGTAAGCCCGTTATTTCAAAATATAACAGGTTCTCTAGTCTGATGTCCCTGTAAATCTCATTCCACAAGAAGTGAGGGACATTTTGGAATAGTGGGTTATTTTGAAATTTGGCACTGTGTAGACAGCACTAAATTACAAAATAAGCTATTTTGAAATAAGATTGAAATAAGATACGCAATTTGTGTAGCTCAAGTTGCGTATCTTATTTCAACCTATGGTGCAGTGTAGACGCACCCCATGTGTTTGTAGGCAGAGTGTTTCAACCTCGTGCCTCAGGATCAATATTTGTAAACGATAGATAATGGACTATGAACATATTTCTTTGAGAGCCTTAATATTACGTCTGCATCATACAATGATTCTGTGCAAAAAAATCTCAGTTACAAAGTTAAATATCACTGTTAAAAATGTGGATATTATCATTATTGTTCTTTAAGACAATAGCTCACATTATTTAATACTTTTATTTTCATATTTACAGATGGCTTGGTATAAATCTTTTGAGATTGGATGTGCAGCTGCTTTCTGTGCAAACACGTACTATTATGTTTGCCATTACTGCCCTGCGTATGTATTGACTGTGGAGTTTTGTCATTTTCGAAACCCCTTTTGTCATTTCATTTTTTAAATAACTCAGCAATCCTTCAGCATGCATGATAATTACCATGTATGCTTATGCATGAATTTAGTGTGATAAGGATCAGATATGTGATTCTCTTGAAAAAAACATACAGGGATACTCATGCAAAAATTAACTCCTTCACTTTTAAAATCCCCAGCAGAATATCATGAAGACTATCTTTCAGTTCCATAATTTTTCTGCATTAGAGAAGTAAGGCCCTCCTGGTGTGTAACCCTCTCAAACTAAGCCTGATATTGCTGATGCAGAGCAAGGGCGGGCAATAATTTTCACAGGGAGACCACTAAATTAATTTTGGTACAGGGTCATGGTCCAGCTTCACCCCCAGAAGGGGTGGGGCCTGAGGTGGAAGGGGTGGGGCTGGGAGCTAGCCTCCCCCCAGAGTTGTCTGGGGCCAGAGGCTTCTAAATAAAAGCACAGCAAAGGGTTCCCAGGCCTCAACCCCACCACTACAATGTTGCCTGTCAGCCACTTGAGGTTTCTGAGACTATTAAAAAGGCTTACAGTTCTGGAGCCTGCCAGGGAAGCACTGTAACTAGGATCCACGGATTTCAGGAAGGAAGATTTTGGTAAACTCAGGAAGCTGGTAGGTAAGGTCCCATAGGAAGCAAGAATAAGAGGAAAAACAACTGACGAGAGCTGGCAGTTTTTCAAAGGGACATTATTAAGGGCCCAGAAGCAAGCTATTTCGCTGTGTAGAAAAGATAGAAAGTATGGCAGAAGACCACCTTGGCTTAACCAAGAGATCTTGCATGATCTAAAAATCAAAAAAGAAGTAATATGAAAAGTGGAAACTAGGTCAAATTACAAAGGATGAATATAAGCAAACAATACAGGTATGCAGGGGCAAGATTAGAAAGGCAAAGGTACAAAATGAGCTAAATCTAGCTAGAGACATAAAGAGTAACAAGAAGACTATCTATAAATATATTAGAAGCAAGAGGAAGACCAAGGACAGGGTAGGCCCATTACTCTGTGAAGAGGGAGAAACAACAACAGGAAATTTGGAAATGGCAGAGGTGCTTAATGACTTCTTTCTTTTGGTTTTCATCCAGAAGTCTGAAGAAATGCCTAACTGAATGCTAGTGAGAAGGGTGTAGGTTTAGAAGATAAAATGAAAAAAAGAATAAGTTAAAAATTACTTAGAAAAGTTGGATGTCTGCAAGTAACCAGGGCCTGATTAAATGCATCATAGAATACTCAAGGAGCTGATAAAGGAGATATCTGAGCCTTTAGCTATCATCTTTGAAAAATTATGGAAGACAGGAGAGATTCCAGAAGACTGGAAAAGGGCAAATATAGTGCCCATCTATAAAAAGGGAAATAAGAACAACCCAGGAAACTAGTGATGAGTCAATTTAACTTCTGTGCCAGGCAAGATGGAGCAAGTAATTAAGGAATTCATCTACAAACTTCTCAGAGAAAATAAGGTGATACGTAACAGTCCGCATGGATTTGGAAAGAACAAATCATATCAAACCAATCTGATACCTTTCTTTGATAATATAACAAGACTTGTGGATAAGGGAGAAGCAGTGGACGTGTTATACCTAGATTTTATTGATAAGAAGATCATGCGAGACAATATCAAAAGCCTTACTAAACTAGGCAAATACAACTTAAAAGGGACTACTATAAAGTGGGTGCATAACTAGCTGTATAACCATTCTCAGGGTATGTCTACACTACCCCGCTAGTTCGAACTAGCGGGGTAGTGTAGACATACCCAGAGTGTCCACACTGCCATAGATGCTCTTGTGTGAAAGCACAGCTCGCACATGGAAGAGTGGATGTGTTCTTGCATGAGAACACTTGTGCAAGATGTTCTTGCGCAAGAAACAACAAGTGTAGACATAGCCTAAGAGAGTCCTCACATGAGCAAAATGAATTTTGTGTTGTGCACCAGTATTGAGTTCATGTGGCTTGTTTGGATATGCCACCCAAGTTATTAATAAATATTTTTAACCCTCT